CTCCCCCCCCCCCCCCCCCCCCCCCCCCCCCCTCCCTTCCCTCCAGGAACGCGCGGCAGGCATTGCAATCGACACATCAATTGTACGAGATGAGCTCAGCTCATCGCAACACATACACGTTGTTGGCCGGCTCAAGCCTATCGCCACCCTTGACTTCCTTTGAAAAACCAACAGTTGACAATTGGACTTATCACAAACATCTCTATTCAGAAGCATTTTTGTCTCGCAAGCTGGGCCCGTGAGAGAAGGTTGCCAGGCCCCCGCCGAACGCTCTTGTAACCCCTCAAGACGTCAACAGGCCTAGGAAAGAACCACCCTCTGGTGTGTCTCTCCCTACCCTCAAGTCGAGAAGGAGCATTGCTCAACATATCATCACCGTTGGCCTACCTCCTCCCCTGTGACCTAGACACGAGCCGGCCAACTCATGTGTCTCAGGGTGGACTGAAGTCACACGCGAACGAAGTGGCATTGTCTCACTTATGCGACCTTACACTATCCACGCCTCTACTCGGCCCACCTCAGGCATGGTCTCACCCCGACTATCCATCTCAATCAACTAACCTGTTTAATTTCAATCAACTAACCTAAGACACAACTATCCTCAACTATCCATCTCAATCAACCTGAGACACAACTATCCCCAACTAACCTGTTTAATTTCAATCAACTAACCTCAATCAACCTCCCCAGCTATCCATCTCAATCAACTAACCTGTTTAATTTCCCTCCCCTTCTATCTTCCTCCAGTTCTTTCCCTGCTCACAATTTTCTCTCAGGGAGATCCAATCAGGGTAGACTGACCAAAGGGCAGAAAAATCAGAAAATATCGCTCTCGATCAGAGTCAGGGAGAGGGGAAAAAAAACAGCATCATCATACAAATACAGAAAAGACCATGCAAATTATTAAAGGTAGAATTCACTGGTCTCACCGGATGTCGAGAGGGTTGGATCGCCACTCACCGCCTGCTCGTCCTCAGTGCCACACCTGTACACACCGAGATGAAAAATCCCCAGCGTGAGTGAGAGAGCGAATTCAATTACCAACACCTACCACGCCTCTACGGTTACAAGGGGACCAAAGTCTCGAGAGGCAGCCTTCCCCGGCAATGCCGCCACTATCGACCTGGGGTTTGGGTTCTGCCGGCACACCCAAGCAACCCTTTAATTCACCCCGTGTATGCCACCCACGAGAGGTTTGTTCGTGGGTACTGTAACCTGTAGAAGAAAATCAACTGACTTAGTCTCACAATTCAAGATATCCCCGCAAACAAGACTGACATCGACAAAAGCAGAAGTCAAATCGTAGGAAGGAATAGAATGAGCATTTTCATGTAATCCAAAATAATAGGGTGAGTCACATTGCAACCAGCCTTAGAAACGAGCCCTGTACCCGAGTCTAGGAAATCTGTTTGAGTACCAATGGACCGCACAGGGAGTTCTACGCCGGATCCTTTGGCCTAAAGGGTGTCGTCGATAACGGGCTCGCCGGTCCCGAGGGACCGTACTAGAACTCCCTGTGTCTAATGTAGAGTCATGGGCCCATTGGGACCAACGTTCAGGTTCCACCTTTACCATCCCTCTGCCTCGGTCGATAAGGCCCTCGTCTGGCCCTCATACATGTCTCAGTCCAACCACTTGGAATATAGTCTTCGTCCGGACCTCGTTAGGTCTCGATCCCAGCACAATCAAATGGAATAAGTTTGTTTCCAATCCTCTCATAGAATAGGTCTTGGTCCTTGTCCAATCAAATGAGATAAATCCTTTTCCAGTCCTCTCGCAGAATGGGTTTTGGTCTTGGTCCAATCAAATGAGATAATATCCGTTTCTGGTCCCTTCGTGGAATAGGTCACGGTCCCGGTCCAATCAAAAGGGCAAAGTCTGTGTCTGGCCCTTTCGTGGATTAGGTTCCGGTGCCGATCCAAACAAGTGGAACAAAGTCCGCGTCCAGCCCTCTTATGGGTTAGGTCTCAGTCTCGATGGTAATGACGACCTGATGATGATGGTCCCGTCAATTGTGCCCAGTCTTGATCTTGATCCAAGTTTCAATCTTGATCCCGGTCTCAATCCCGATTTTGATCCTGGCCTCAATTCCGATCCACAACTGATCCTGACCCCGGTCTGAATCCTAATACCGATCCTAAACTTGATTTCGAATCCCGATCCCACAGCCAAACCTGATCCAAGTCTTGGATGAACCCCACCAGTTAGTGCAAGATGATGATGATAATGATGATAGTGATGATGATGATGAAGGCTGCGGCCGGCTGCGCTCCGACGGGCTCTCCGCACATGCGCGCTAGTACACGTGGCTCCATGCACGTGCGTGTGTTGGCGCGCGGTTGTGCGTGGCTTCTCCGCATGTGCGAGCGATGGCGCACGGCTGTGCGCAGGTGCGCACGCCCTGGCGCGCGGTTGTGCGTGGCTTCTCCGCACGTGTGTGCAATGGCGCGCAACTGTGCGCAGGTAAGCATGCCTTCTCGGCACGTGTGCGCGATGGTGCGCGACTGCTCCACAGGTGTGCGACCGTTAGCGCGCGGCTCTCCCACACGTGTGTGCGATGGCGCGTGGCTTCTCCACATGTGCGAACCATGGCGAGTGGCTGCTCCACACATGCGCGCCATGGCGCGTGGCTGCCTGCGGCTCCTCTGCACGTGAGCATGATGGCGCGCGACCTCCATGCACATGCGCGCGATGGCGCGCGGCTGCTCCCCACATGCACACGATGGCGCGTGGCTGCTCTGTACGTGCGCGCGATGGCGCGGGGCTGTCCAGTGGTGCGCAGGTGCAGGTGTGTTCGCCCGTGCGCCTGTGTGTGTGTGCGCCCGTGCGTGTTTGTGCAAACACTCGTGCTCGCCAGTCCTCGTGTGTGCGCCCGTGCGCGCGTCCGCATGTGTGCGCCCGTGCGCACGTCCGCATGTGTGCGCCCGAGCGCGCATCCGCGTGTGCTCTCGTGCGCGTGTACGCCCGTGCGCCCGTCCTGTGTGCGCAAGCACCCGTGCTCGCCCGTGCGTGTGTGTGCGCCCATGCGCGTGTTCGCATGTGTGCGTTCGAGCGCGCGTCCGCGTGTGTGCGCGAGCACCCGTGCGCGCGCCCGTGGGTGTGTGCTCCTATGCGCCCGTCTCACCTCCCTTATCCACCCTTGATAGGTCGTGTCCTCTTGTGTGCAAGGTACCCGTTCGCCGGTGCGTGCTTCTCCTCTCCTCTCGCTCGTCGAGCGTACGAAGGCCAGCACACCTTGTGTGCCAGCAAGTGCGCCAGTCCCAAGTGTCCAGACATCGGGCCCAGTTGGGCTTATACAGTGCGCTGGGCCCAGCACAACGTAGGGCTCAGCACTTAGGTCCCTCCAAGTGTCGACGATTGTCGGGAAGTTTGCAGCGCCCCAGTACCGAGGCTGCACCCGAACCTAATCCCGAGCTCATTTGGGCTCCGAAAAGTCACGTGTCACACCAAGCAAGGCCATAGCGTCGGTTGTTGAGGGATTTGCAGCGCCCCGGTACCAAGGACGTGCCCGAGCCTAGTTCCGGGCCCATTTGAGCCCCCAAAAAATCATGCGTGGCCCCAAGCAGCCATAGTGTCGGGAAGGAAAAAGGTCTCGTACCATACTTTAAATTTCCTGCCTCATTCCGGGCCTTGGAAATGCAATTCTCCGACGCTCCTATGAAAATTAAGGCCCACGCAGAAAAAACAGTCTGCCGACGCATCCATGGAAATAAGGCCCACAAGGGGAAAGTAGTTTGCCGACGCGCCCTTGGTTGGTCTTAGTTCCCCGCGACCTGCCGCCGGCCCCGGTATATCATGGCTGCTTCTGAGAATCCTGCTCGGCCATCGTTCATTTCTGGCAAGTCTGGATTCCTTGGTCCGTACTCTTAAATTTTCTCGTCAGAACTGGATCATCTCGGTGTCTCATACAGCTGGGCACTGTCGAGCGTTCCCAAGTCGGACCGCTCTTAACTCCAGATACGGATCACGACTTTTTGCAGATTTCTCTGCGGATATAGATGCTATCGCCTACTACAGGGTCAGGTATACATATGATTGGGAGTTATCCAGAACTATTGTGGTGAGAGCTACTGCCATGTCTAGTTTTCTGGCTAGCACAGTGTTTGGGGGCCCGGACCACCACCAACAAATAGTTGTCACTCTCCGTAGAGCGTTACAATTTTGTCCCTCTCTCGAAGGGCTTTCGTGGCTGCTCACTGTCTGTCTAGACCGGGATATTCCGTCTTATAAGGAATTACAACGTATTGTCTTCATGATCAGAGCAGAGGTACGCAGAGCGGCAGTAACTGGAGAGATAGATAGGGGTATAAAACTTGACGCAGACCCTGTAGAGGGCTAGATGCCTCGATATAGTGAGGAGTATCCGGTCGAACTTCATCGATTTTCGTTTGAAGAGCCTGAGTTTATAGGTGAAGACTGAATATAATTCACTCTACCACGGAAAGCGGTAGAGAAACCGGGTAGGGGAAAGGTTGACAGATCCTGGAGGTTGCTCAGGTTGGTATTATTGCGGCCGGGAATCTGGTTACTGGTCATGGCTTCAAACTTCTCTTGGGTTTGAGCGCGGTAACAGGTGGAAGAAAGTGTCGGGTACGTCTTCGCTGCTAGTCCCAGGGTATCTTTATTACCAGACCACTATACTCAATGACATAGTCCTAAAGTCGTTGGAACAAGGCTATAGTGATCCTGTGTCAGGTACGGTTCCTAGTTTGGATTCCTATAACTGGCCGGACGATGTGGCTGCAAAAGGGTTCTTACACGCTCAAGCAGAAAGGATTTGAATCGGTATCCATATATCTCCAGGTCGCTGATAACGAATTTTTGCCCTACTCAAAGCGAGCGGTCCGTCTTCCAATCCCAATATTTGTCTTAGAGAAATTACTTGGAGGATTAGATCGTTTA